ATAACTTGAAGACATACAAAAATACCTCCTTTAAAAATTATTTTCTGGCCGGGCGGTGGTGGTGTACGCCTTTAATCCCAGCACTTGGGAGGCAGAGGCAGGCGGATTTCTGAGGTAGAGAGTTCGAGGCTAGTCTGGTCTACAGAGTTCCAGGACAGCCAGGGCTACACAGAGAAACCCTGTCTCGAAAAACCAAACCAAAAAAAAAAAAAAATTATTTTCTTTAATCATGTGTCTGTCTGTCTGTCTGTCTGTCTGTGTGTATGTACACCTGACATCAACACTGGATACCTTTCTCAATCACCCCTCCACCTTATATTTTGAAGACAGGCTCCCTCACCAATTCAGGATGGCTGGCTACTCAGCAAGCTCCAGGCATTCCCCTGCCTCTGCCTCCCCTGCTCTGGGGTTACAGTTGTGTGTCGCCACGCCTGGCTTTTTATGTTAGTGCTGAGGGATCTAACTCAGGTCTGAACACTTGTGTAGCAAGTTCTTTACCAACTGAGCCGTCTCCCCACCCCCAAGAGATGGGACTAACTGGGCACAGTGGTGCATGCCTGTAGTCACAGAGAAGTAGCAGAGGCAGGAGGATTGCTCTAAGCTTTAAGCCAGCCAGCAAGTCTTGACCAGCAAGGGCTACATAATGAAACCCTGTCTCAAAGACAGAAAAGAAGTGGTAACAAATTATCACTTTGGTCATGTCTGGGCCACATGAGAATATCATGGTGTATGTATCATGAGAATACCGTGGTGTATTAAGGGAAGTAATAGACCTGCACAGTAATTGCAATAAAAGGAAAACCCGAAAAAAAAAAAAAACCAAAACTCAGCCAAATCACCCTTGAGTTAAGGTCTCCCCACACCTTAATGTAATAACTTGTTTCACACTTATATTTAAACTATCCATAGCTCCCAGGGTTCTATGTTTCCAAAAGGACAATTAGCTAATCAAAGATCCATTTGGAATCATCATTAAATACTAAGGATGGTGCTCAGTGCTGTTAAAACCAGATATGTGTGACCCCTAGAAGCAGCCATATGAAACAGATTATATGTGCAGAATCTGGAAAAAAAAAAGACCGTGCAGCTGAATCGAGACAATCCTTGACAGGAAAATGGAAATCCAATGCTCAGAGAAATCCCAAACACCTGCTGAGGAAGCTGATGCTTCGGAGGTGCCCCAGCTCTGCCCCGCCCAGCTCTGCCCCGCCCAGCTCTGCCCCGCC